TGGAAATCTTCCGAAATCATGTAGTCGTCTTTCTCCACCATGTAGTGGTGCTCCTTGAAGCCAGCCGCTCCTGGGTACATCTGCATTTTTTTTTATTCGATTTTTTTGTTTATTTTTTTTTTCGATTTTTTCGAGTTTTCGGTTTTGCTAGTGATGATTTTAAAAGAAGGTTTGGTGGATTATATAAAGGCTCATGTGGTGATTGATATTCCAGTTTGATCAGGATGAATCAGATTCTATGTCATTAATTTGATGGTGCACTATCGAATGCAAAAGCTAAAGAATAAGATTCGAGCGACTATGTTACTGGACATTTGATATGCCGCATTTACTTGGTCATCTAAGCATGAATTGGGACTATGTAATGTAACTGGGACTAAAGTCGTGCCTTCGCGCGACTCTAGTGCACCCAGTAGATTAGCCTGTCGGCGCTTTTATATGTCTGCTAGAAGGTCACATGTACATAGAATACTAACAATATCATATGATTAAAGTGTAAAGGTTTACAAAATCTCCACCTCGAATAGTAGCTCCTAAAATGACTAGAACAATACTCGTGCTTGAATGATCCTATCGTACAACGACCTTGTCCTATAATGAAATGTAACTTATGTTTTTCTTTGTATTGGTTTTGGTCTTGAGTGAGTAACCGACATGTGATTGTCCCCTAAGCCTAGTCACACGCGGGAGTCGAGCATGTGGCTGCCCACCGCATTTTTGTTTGCCGATTATTGGTCTTTGAAAAAAATATAATTATTGGTCTTTTATCCTTACTTCATTTCCGTTTCTTTTTTCTCATCGATTTGCAGCACCCAAAACCTCCCAAAATCAAAATCGAACAGCCACCCTCTAAATTCTCTCAAAAACAACAAATTTTCTCCACTCTTTCCTCTCTATTCCCGTCCCGATTTTGCAGATCTTGACGGTGACCGACGCCCAGGTGGCGGTACTGCGAACACCACCGACGGGGCTGGGGTGACGGCGCTACTGAGGCGGACCTGGGATATTCCGCAAAGGAGCAGCGTGACTGGTCGTCCTAGCGTCGGCGTGAAAGAGGTGACGGCCGACAGGTATTGTATTGTATACGAGCAGAGTCAAAAACTCAAAACTCATACGTTGAGGGAGAGGTGGGTAAAATTTGTTCGTAAATCCTAGATCCCCGCCCACACAGTCTCTAGACAAACGGCTATGGCGGAGAAGAAACAACTGATCGCCTTAGGTTTCGAGGGCTCTGCCAATAAAATCGGCGTGGGCGTGGTGACTCTGGACGGCACTATTCTTTCTAATCCACGCCATACGTACATAACTCCGCCGGGGCAAGGCTTTCTCCCCAGGGAAACCGCCCAACACCACCTCCTCCATGTGCTTCCGCTCGTAAATTCTGCGCTGCAGGAGGCCAAGATCACTCCAGAACAAGTTGACTGCCTCTGCTACACAAAAGGTCCTGGCATGGGCGCCCCACTTCAGGTAGCATTTCGTGTTTAATGTCGAACTCTCCTCATAATTGATACCAGTAGTTGCTTTTTTGTGTTTGAAAGAAACTAATAAAATTTAGTAATAGAATTCCACTTACAACGCTGCTATTTTATATGGTCTTTAAGTTAATTGTTCGTAGTCCATTGATTTTTGTAAGCTATGTGGTTCGATTGGATGTTTTCCCCCTTCACGAAAGTGGATTAGACCGTGCTTAAATGGATTTGGAAAAATGCCACCTTTTCACTCTCTTTACAAAAATGGGCGTATTGTTGTGATATTACTTGTTTCATGTTGTAGTTTAGGTCATTAGAGATAAAAGTGGTGCTTTTGCAAATACAAAGACAAAAAGTTACATATTTGTCAAACTTGAATAGATGATTAATGTATAGTGCTTTGGTGGACTTTACGAAGGTTTCCTAATTTCTGCTGCGCCACCATTTAAAGTATGAGACATGAGTACGAAACAACAGTTTTGAGTCCATGGTCCATGATGCAAAGTGGTTAAAATTTGCCTTGTTGTACACTTTCTAATCTATTTACGGGCTCAATGGGCAATTCCTCATAATATGCAGATTTTAACATTTCTTGTTGACAAGATGGAACCTGATGTGTCTGTAACTGAAGGTTGTAATTGTATATACAACTGAAGGTAGTATCTGTAGTAAGTTTATTTTCCTTTAGTATTCTTTAGTATTCCCTTTGCTGCTGTGTGTAATTTTAACTGTGGTGCACAACCTTGCCAAGTATTCATGTGTATGTATTGTTCTTGAAAGAATTACTACTGCTTTCTTTTCTTGGAATGAGACCTTATGATTGGACTTTTTTTCTGGGCTGTTCCCATGTAGGTATCGGCTATAGTGGTCCGCATCCTATCACAACTTTGGAAGAAACCAATTGTTGCCGTTAATCATTGTGTGGCACATATTGAGATGGGGAGAATTGTGACGGGGGCTGATGATCCAGTTGTGTTGTATGTGAGTGGGGGCAATACTCAGGTTATTGCGTATAGTGAGGGGCGATATCGTATTTTTGGGGAGACAATTGATATTGCAGTTGGAAATTGCTTGGATAGATTTGCTAGGGTTCTCACGCTGTCAAATGATCCCAGCCCTGGATACAACATTGAGCAGGTTTTTTGCATTGTTTCCAGTGACAGTTGGAAAGTCGATTCATTAGGCAATATGGCTTAATGTCGTATTTGGCATTTTTTAATTTCAAGTTGACATACCCTCTTTCATGCTTTATTTTTATGCATGTTTCTAGCAATTGTGTTATGCTTGGTTTAGCTTTAGGTTACGTTTATAAGCTAGCTTATAACTTTCAAGTGAATTTCAAGCTTATAGGTGATAGCTTATGACTTATGGCTGAAAAGCTAGCTTATATGGTAAAAGTGTTTGGTAAAATTAGCTGATAAGCTAAGCTGAAATAAAAATTTCAATGGGCTTATTTGAAAAGCAACCCAAGGAAGCTTAGGAGATAAGCTCGAGCTTTTAGTCCTACCAAACCAAATATATTTGAATACAAGAAGCTTATAAGCTAAGCAAATAAGTTATAAGCTAGTTTTTATACTTACCAAACACAACCTTAGACCCTTTGTTGATTATAGGTAGAAGGGTTTCTATTTTAATGGAAGTGCTTTAGGCTTAACATGACCGCACTTTATTTACTAAAATTTGTTTTCTTTTGAACCTTGTGCCAGCTTGCGAAGAAAGGAGAGAAATTTATAGATCTCCCATATGTTGTCAAGGGAATGGATGTTTCTTTTAGTGGGATTTTGAGCTACATTGAAGCCACTGCCAATGAGAAGCTTAAAAATAACGAATGCACTCCTGCAGACTTGTGTTATTCACTTCAGGTAAAGTGTCTCATCGAGTAACATCACACAAGCAGACATTTCAAAGATTTTCCCCTTAAAACATTGGACTTTTTATTTCCCCTTTCAGGAAACCTTGTTTGCAATGCTTGTGGAGATCACTGAACGGGCCATGGCCCACTGTGACACGAAGGATGTGCTGATTGTTGGCGGTGTGGGTTGCAACGAACGTTTGCAAGAGATGATGCGAACTATGTGTGGTGAAAGGGGCGGGAAATTATTTGCTACTGATGATAGGTACTGCATTGACAATGGGGCAATGATTGCTTATACGGGCTTGCTTGCGTATGCTCACGGCATAACAACTCCTCTCGAGGAATCTACTTTTACTCAAAGGTTCAGAACAGATGAGGTGTTGGCAGTTTGGAGAGGGAAGGAACATTCATTTGCCGATCACTGTGAAACAAAGAGCAGCTAAAGAGGTACCTGAATTGGACTCTATTTTAGTTTACAATCAGAGTACAAATTATTTAAG